ACCCTCCCATTCCTATCAGTGCCACAAGCTACTAAACCATCTCTCGTAGCTCCTCATCCAGGCGCCTCTTGAACACTCATAAAACCTCCCAGATGTCTCATTGCTCAGTGGGTGGCACAGACTTAGCTATTTGGAACACAACAGGAATCACAATTCTGGGCATGCAATAACAACCCTGTTCTCTACTCTGTTGAGTGCAACATAGAACAGTGGTATGTGATCAAGAAAAGAGGAGCAATGAGAAATTCCCTGGAACATGTTGCCCAGAGATGTGGATGTCTCATCCCTGGGGATGCTCAAGGTGTGGCTGGACAGGGCTCTGAGCAGCCTGATCTAGCTGGTCATTGTGGGGAAGTTGGACTAGATGAACTTTTAGGGTCCCTTCCAACTCAAATGGTTCTATGAAGGCAGATGAAGGTAGAGGAAGTTGGCAGAAATGTTGATCCTATGTGCCCAGGATGAGTCTGAAGATAAGAGCTGTATCCCTGTTTTGTGGGCCAGGGAAGGTTCACGGCTAACAGCAGCACTGTGTGTACTGGGGAACATGGGACCAAGAGTGAGCAGAAGGGCAGCTCCTCTACCACGTCACTGTCATGCATGTGTTAAATTATACACAGTGGCAGTTTAGGAACTTTCCACCATTACATCCCCCTTGCAGCTCCAAAGGGACCTGGCTTTGCATAAAATTCTTTGTCTTTTCAAGAGCATGGTCAGAGAAAATCAAGTATGAATCTTTCATCTCCATTTTGCTGTCAGTGGAGGTATCTCAGGTCAATTTCTCTGTCTATCAGGACACATGATGATGATGATGATGATGATGATGATGATGATGATGATGTGTTAAACCATGTCAAAGCAGTGCAAATGCAGCCAAGTTCATCATCAGTCCCAGAGGACATAACCTTCTTCATTACAGATTTGCTACTTTGCAACAGCCATTCAAAAGAAAGCATCACCATAAGATAAGTGGAGCATGGTGTTTATGGATAGCTGTAGGAAAGGGAAAAAAGATTTTAATTTCTTTCCTTAGGCTAAGCTGCCTTTCCAAGAGTGTCCATCACTTGTTCCTCACTGCCCTGTATTTTCTGTGAAGATAGCAGGGGTCTGAGGCAGGAGGGGAGAACGGCTGCATTTCTCGCTGCCTGGAGATCTTCTTCAGCTCTGAACAAGTATGCTGAGCAGGGCCCCTCTGAAGTCATGCCTGGTGATGAGAAGGCTGCAGATCTGCCCATGGCAACTGGTCCTTGGCGAGGGATGCATCCTCTGCCTCCGGCCAGGGCAGACAGAGAACAAGTGAGGAATTACAATTTCTCCCTATTTAGTGGGCATGGTGGTGATGGGTCGATGGTTGGACTAGATGATCTTAGTGGCTTTCTCCAGCCTTAATGATTCTATGATTCTATTTCTGTGGCCAACTATGAGTGCTGCAATCAGTTTGTCTCAGCAGCAGCCTCAGATCTAGCATGACATGCTGAAGAAAAGAAACAAGTGAACTGGGGGTGTTTGACAACCTGAAATTGCCTGCAGCTCTTGCAGGTCTGAAACCCAGTGTGATGAATGCAACTCTGCTGTAATGGCAAAGGAGTCAGAGGCTGGTTCCCATCAAAGACTTTCAAGGCCACAGAATTTGGTTCCTTTGCTGGCATCATTTACCTCAACAACTTGTCATCTGTCTTCAAAATGCACACCTGAAGACACTCAAAAGGCAGATGGAAAGGAGTAACTTGTCTGGACTGCACTATATTTTTTTTCAAACAACCCAATGCATGAGTTCTTGTGTTAACAGGGAGAGAGAGAGAGGGAGGAAAATAAAGAAGCAAAGGAAGAAGTGAGGTTCAAATGAAGAAGAGAGTTTCATAAGAAGGAAGGCAGGGAGGCAGAGAAGGAGAAAGGGACAGGAGGAGGAACTATTGGGAGAAGAAAATTTTTCACAGTGATTTATTGTCATAAGCACGCCAGTTCTTGGGCCGTTGTTCTCTCTGTAGATGTAGCTGGGGGCTGCTCAGGTGGGAATTCAACCCCCACCACTATTCATCAGCACAGCCCATGGGCAACAGTATGAAGCCAAGGCCAAAATACCACCAACTCATGACTGGAGCACTGAGGAAGCATGCATTGTGGATGGTGAGAAAGTCTGAACTTGGGAAAGGCTCCTATGGAATAGATATGAAATGGACTTGCTTTAATCACTTGCCACCTCTTCAGTCTCCATAGTATCCTTTTGCTTGAATTTCCTCCCTCTGTCTCCATTCAGCCGCAGGAAGCAGCAATCACAGCCCAGCACACTTTTTATTTCTTTATTTTTTTTTAATAAACTTTATTCTATATTACAAATAGGTTTTTTTTTTTCCCTTTTTTTTTTTTTCTTTTTTTTTTTTTTTTTTTTTTTTGTTTTGTTTTGTTTTGTTTTGTTTTTGTTCTGGACTGCAAAATAGGAATGCCTTATATTTACATACACAGGTATACAATTAATTATAACAAAGGTACAGAAGCTTTGCCTTTACCAAGTAACAATGGGATTCCAATTTAAATAGTATAGATTTTATTTTATTTTTTAACTAGGATCAATTCAAAAGAAAATCAAACCAACAACAACAACAACCTAAAAAAAAAAAGGGATCCCAACCTCCTTTCTAATGCTGTCTTGACATCTCTTTGAGGCTGTTAGTAACATTGTAGTGAAAGGATATGTCTTTACATTGATTTTGTACTTAAGGTGGAAGCTTTAGCAAAAAACAGAGAATGAGACTTCTGGGCTTGTGTGTACATCAAGACACAGGGTCATACACTAGGAAGGGCCTGTCTTGTGGCATTAAATAATCCAGTTGCCTCTCATCTTGGGGAAAATGCTGGGAGCATTTAGCTAGCACCTAATCTCTGCTTCCTTACCCCACCCTGGGCTGGAAAGTGGATTTTCTCCAGGAAATGGGGAAAGAGCAGTGAAGAAATTTTAAGTAACACCACGTTTCTTTAAGATATTTAAGAAAGGATGTCAAGCTCAGACAGTGTGCCTTGGTTTCTCTGACTGGCTCTTGTGTTCCAGTCTACCTGAAAGTGAACAGCATCCTCTCCTGCTCAGAAATACTGTCCTCAGTTTCAAACCACACCAGCAAGAGAGGGGGATGTTGAAAGAGCCTAAATGTCCTGTTCCCCCCATTTTCCATAAGCAGGCTGACTTTGCTGAGCTTCCCTGCATGCTTCTCTTTGCTGCAGGTATCTTTGAGGTGATCTGGTTCCAAGCAGAAAGAAATTCTTGAGGTAAATTCTCCACTTTTAAAACAGAAGATTAACAAACAGAAAAATGAACCATGACAGTGACAACAGAAATCACGCATGTAACAGATTGGTTGGACTGAGCAGCTTTATATCCTCTCTGCTTTGTTGCTTTTGTTTGTTTGTTTGTTTTGTAGTGGCTTTATTCTTCCCAAGTGTAATCCTTTTTTTTTTCTTTTGTCATTCTTTTGCATATTAATTAATTGCCATAAGCCACTGTGTCCTTGGGTGCTTCTCTAACAGTGCAGAGAACTGAGAAGTCCTAAATCAATCGTGATTGACCAGCTCTGTTTTCAGAGCATTCTCTGCATAACTTATCCTCCATAGGACAACACAACTCTCAGAGGGGAAGGAATGTTGCACAGTGGCAGATATGAGGGATAATTGCAAACACTATGGACTCAACTATACTCTGAAATGGAGACAAAGCTGGATGCAAAACAAGAAAACTCAAGCAGTGAATGGCCAGGAGGCTGAGGTTCACACCATGACGTGGAGCATCTCTTGGCTTTCAGCTGTCTGCTCCACAGCAAACCAAACTTGGATGGCAAGAGCTAGGGCAGTCCAAGATCTCCATCTGCCCCAAAGGACAATATATTACTACTCATCAGATAACACAGACCAAACTGCCCTGGAATCACTGAGGTTATGCCAGTACCTCTTTACCCAACAGCTGTCATAGTGAGGCCTGTGCCAACAAAGAAAGATAGTTTGCTGTGTAAATAATTAAAATAATCAAATCCATTCCTGGACTCCCTGGTCATCCCAGGGATTCCTTCTCCTCCAGGAGAGGAGGGCTTACAGGCATTTAGACAAGAGCAATTATTCAAGAGCTGGATTTTTGTACTGATTTCCTCATTCATGGGTGGAAGATAAATAAACTGGGTCTCCTGAGTGCAGTTTCTGGTGAGTTACCAAAAATCTAAAGAAACCTAGTGGGGCCAACATGCACATTTTTAAACAGAGCCCTCTATCCAGCTCCTTCAGCTACATGCTAAACCAAGGAGAAGAAAGGACTATCAAATTGATGAGGTTACAGGTAAGTGCTTATCTGGTCATGGTATCTTCCCCTATTAGCAATGGCCACTGCTCACCCAGAGAACAATACATTGCTATGATGGAACAAACCTCTTACATACTAGAGCCTGCCCCAGGAGTTTGAGAAGCAGGACCAGTTTTCTTCCTCTTTGTCATTCCCTTTACAGCATGAAACTACTTATCCAGGCTATCAGATACATCTGTTTCATGGGCTTTTTCTGGCTACTGGGAAAGGGTGAAGCACGACTTGTATTACTGATGCCTTGGTGATGTGAAAGAAGAGTTCTGGTCATCTCCAGCAGCCCAGGTTTTTCTTTTTTGTACGTTAAAGGACTCAAGGGTGGAGACACAACTGTATGTCCCACTAAGAGAAGCCCTGGAACTCAGTCCTTTTGGGTTTTTAGACTTCCTTTGGACGAATATTCCACATAGAAGTATTTCTTCTCAAAGCTCTTCATATTCCATGTGAAAATACAGATCTGCATTTTGTGTTGTGGCTTACTTTAAAACAAAGTAAAACTTTGCTCTTGGCATTACCTGCTTTTTCTTAGGTTGTTACACCATAGGTATCCCAGCATTTAGCTAATACTGCCCACTGAGGTTGTGAATATCCCCTCCCTGGAAGCATTCAAGGCCAGGCTGAATGGGGCTGAGAGCAACCTACTCTAGTGGGAGGTGTCCCTGCCTATAGCAGGGGGGGTTGGAACTAGATGATCTGAAAGGTCCCTTTCAACCCAAACCATTCTATAATTCTATGATTCTCTGTACTATTTAGGTTGATTTACTCAACAGTAGGAGTGACCGTGGATTTCTATAACTTTATCTATCAGTTTTCAATAGCATAATTATAAATAATAAAAACAATAATATTATCCTGTCTTTTTCCCTGTAATGCACAAGATCTAAAACTTTCAGTAAGCACATTTCAATTAAAACAAATACCAATCTGAATTCTGCTAGTAAATCCTCTTCATGTTGAAACTACTTTTTATGTTCTCTAGTGTTGAGAGGTATGGCAAGACAACTGCAGGGGTTAAGATGTTGAAAATTGGCTTAAGCCCAATGGAGCAAGGCTGGTGTATGCCAGAATGGACCAAATCTTCAAATATATTCAGGACAGAGTGAAGTGTGGGAAGAGAAGGATTGATGTGTGTTAGGAGATGAAGATGCCCTTGAGAGTCTACATTTCTCCTTTTTCCTAGTTCTCACATGCTGTTTGTTCAAGAGCTACCAATCTCTAACACCTTCTTCTAGATAACTCTTCCCACAACTCCAGTTTGATGGCTCAAGCTGCAAAAGGACGTGACATGATGGATTGTGCCTCAGCTCACTGTGACATTGATAGGTGAATGCACTTACAAAGAGGATACTGTATGTTGCAGAATGGTTCCTCACCCCTAGACACCAATTCTCAAAGCAAACTCTGCAATGGAAAAAACTCTGCTCTTCAAGACGGACCACAAGGAGTCTTCACTCACATTCTCTTTCCATATTACTGATGGTACTGAAAGTGCCAATATTCATTGTGTTGATTGCAGTGTTTGAGAAAAAATGGAAACATCAATCAGTTATCTGTACAACAGTAACCTGTCAACTTCTGGGAGTTTTGTCTCCTGTTCTTACTGTGAGGCTTGAAAACCAGTGTGAAATACAACTCACATGGCACACTTTTGGTCAAGGTTGTGGTAAAGTGAGGAGTTGGGGGGTAACAAGGTAAAGGAAGAGGAAAAGAACCCATCCATGTCATAGTAGGGCTCATTCTTCTGCTTGTGTCTTTGTTTTTAATTGTATTTCACATGCATTTAGAAAAATAATTAGCTCAAACAGGTGAGGGTGGGAAGAAAGATGCCGAGACCTCTCGTAGACTGTGGTAGATGCTGGAACAGTGGATGGAAAGGAGGAGGACAGCAAATGGGACAGAGGACAAAGCCCACACATTTACACCACAATTCTGGACCATTTTTCCAAGTGAAAACCAAAACCATCTTAAGCACCAAAGTTAAAGAAGAAAATGAAGAAGTAAAACGAAAAGGAGGAGGAGATGAAAGAATTGAAATACAAAATCTTCTTTCAAATCCTGGGGTAGGAGAGAGAAGAGAGTTGAGAGAAAAAGGAAATGCCTAAATGGGAACTCGGGAGGGATCAAGATACCAATCTCATGGTGCTTCCCATTTCCCGTAAGCGTATCATTCTCAGTGTCTCTGAGGTGTTCAAGTTTTTCTTGAAATATACGTATATTTTTTTTACAGCTGAAAAACTCTGTACCAGCAAGAAGAAATAAACCAGCAACAGTGGAAAACAACCATAATAAAACAAAAACACAGCCCTGAAAACATCAAAAAGAAGCAAGGTGAGTCTCAGATTTCTCCTGTGGTGTTCCTCTGACTTCAGTAACAGTGCAGGATTATGCCAGTTCACTTTGATTATTTGTTTTTTTTTCGTTCTTTCTTTCTTTCTTTTTTTCTTTCTTTTTTAACAGCTTCTTTTTCCTTTTGTATGCACATGTCCAGGCAGTATAGCCCATCACTCATAACCAATTCCCTCCAAGCCAGCTATTTGTCCTTAGACTCCTACCTTCCAGCTGTGAGTACAAGGCATGACAATAGGGTCCATATTTATCTTTCGTGGCACTTTGTTTGTCAAAACCTTTGGTTTCTTCCTTTTTTTTTTTTTTTTTTTTTTTTTTTTAATTTTCCTTTTTATGTACTTATAAAAAATATTGTGTTTGTGTTGTTGTTGCAGTTTTCTTACTGCTGGCTCTGGTGGGACATCTACCCCCACTTTCACAGCCATAATCAATGTATCTGGAACATGCCCCAGCATTACAAAATGGATCAACAAAACCATGGCAGAGCCAACCAAACCAAATCATCCCCATTGCGCAGGCCTCTTAAAAATGCTGAGATGTCCATAAGGTGCATGATGAGTCCATCAGCTCAGCGATCAAACAGAAAGCAAGCAAAATTAAAAAGGAAATAACGCACACACGCACACAGATACACACACGCACACACACAAAATAATAATAATTATAATAAAGAGAAATGTCTGGGGTTTTAAAACCAAGACGTGTCCCTAAGTTTGCTGTTTCAGTATGAATCTTGTGATATTCTCCCCCCATACATGCACCCAGTTTTGGACTGCTGTTCTTTAAATGGTTTGAGAAACACTTTCTTACATGTGTATGTTTGGCTGAATGGAATCTGCTTGCTATCTGACCCCTGCCTGCACCACTTCCTCCTTCACACACACTTATGAGCCATTGCTCTGAAGAGGTTCAGGCTTGCTAGCAAGAAGCATGAACAAAACCAAATACACTTGTTCCATAATCAATTTACACACCCTGTCTTTACCCCTTCATCTACCCAGATGCAAAGTAAACCAAGGCTGTAGCTTGGAGGATAGTGAAAGATGGATGAGGACTGATTCTTCATTACACGATGCCAATCCTCCACTTGTTATTGAGCACCATTCAGGCGAGATCAACACAGACCTGGCTTCTGCCTCTGTGGTATACCAGATCCAAGGTTTTCCAGTTCCCTCAAGGCTCTGCAGCAATGGTTCTTCCACTGCAATGAACCACAGCGTTAAACAGGCCAGCAGCTGCAGGAGAAACTGGCCAAATGCAGAAGGGATGCAGGAGCTCATTCCTATTTGGTTGGCATTGAAATAGATTGAGATGTAGATCTTCTGGAGGAGCCGAACAGAGGAAAGAACAAGGTGATCACCCATCCTTGTCCTGTGATGACAATGATCTGTGAAAGGATAGGAAGTGCAAAGAGAGAGCAAACACGTCACAGTCAGCAACTGTGCCTTCAACAAGGACTGCTGGTTCCAGAATGTAAAAGAGCAAGGGCCAGGAGTTGGCACCAAAAGGCAAATGAGCTTACAATAGTTTGCGCATCTCCAGAAAACATGCAGTTTGACTTGGAGTATCTAGATGGAAGAAAATTTTGCAGTGTTTCGTTTGGGCTTCTTCCAAGATTTCCTTCCAAAGTATATGATGATATTTCCTCTTCAGAGTGACTTTGAAGGAAGGCTTCTACCATCAGTCCTATGCACTACCTTGCTTCACAGCAAGCCCTTTAATATCCTTCTTATATTCCACCAAAAAAAAAAACAACAATAGCTTTGTTTCAGTTGTGGAAATAAAAATGAAAAGAACAAACAGCTTAAAAAAAAAACCCTCTGGTTGGTTTTTTTGAGGCCATGCTCCTTGTCTGGAACAAAGCGAGACTTGTGATTCCTGCTTTCCAAGCTGAGGTGGGGCAAAGGAGATGCTGTGCTGTCCATTGCCAGAAGGAACAGAAACACCACCAACGGGATGCCACTGAGAAGAGAGAGCATTTTTGCAGCAGTGCTACGACCAACAGGACACAATGGGAAAGACGGAGGGGAACACATGTCTCTTTGAAAAATAAGAATAACCATATGAATCACACGGGCAGGAGACTGTTAGTCTCCATCCTCCCTTCTTGACCCTTCTACTGCCCCAAGAGAGCAACTACACCGCTGTTTGCCCAGGCAGATAAGAGCCACAGTGTTCCCACTCTGGCGGAGCTGTGGCATTTTGCGGGGAGCCTTGGTGTTCCTCTCCCAGTGGGTCCCTATCAAGAGATAGAGTTGCAATGGCTCTGCAGGAGAGGATCTTGACTTCCTCCTACCCTTCAGGATCCCTGCAGGCAAGCTGCCTTCCGGTTGGGGAGACATTTAGTAATACTGAGTTCATTTCTATGTCCACTCCGGAGGCTACATCCCCAGGAGGGCAGTTAAAGCAGCATGACAGAGGTGACCTCTCGATTTCCCATCTGCAGAGTGATGATGCGATGCTGGGGGAGGGTTTTGTTTTGTCTTGCTTTGTTTCTGTGGAATTGTTCTTTTTTTTTCTCTTGTAGAATAAAGGCAGAAGGGAAGCTGTGAAAATGAGAGCTTCACCTAAATGTCTTGATATCCCCAGAGCTAAGATTCCTCTGCAATCTTTTCTTGTAACCCCTGGGGATTTCTCACTTTGTCCACAGATTTTGAAAGAGAAAGAAATGAGAGAGAGAGAGGAGTGCTGTTCAGGTGACTCTGCTTACAGCCAATCAAAACTTGCACTTGGTAAAGATGATGATCTTGAGTGAGGCACGACTTGGTTTATCCCTCCCAGGGTGTCCCTGGCAGGACAGTTCTCAGCTGTCTATGCTCATGAGGGTTATGACTTGTTCAAGTTTGTAGGCAAGTTTCTGTTTCCCAGCTTGGTCATCTTGATCAAGGGCTCCGAGAATCTGGAAAAAGAGAGAGAAAGAAGTGACATGGCTCTGTTTTTATATTTATTTTTCAAAACAACTAAGTCCAGTACCTTTCAGCAACAGATGAGGGTTAATTTTCCCTACGAGAAAAGTGAGCCCCAAACTTAGCTTAGATCATACAATGCAGGTCAGTCAGCCAGAAGGGAGTTAGGCAGGCAGTTTGGTGCTGATGTGGCTGAATGCAAACCTCTGCTTTGCAACAAATCAAATGGATTAGCATCTTGAAGATCAATTATTTGGCAGATTTCTTCATTACCTTGCCATGCCACTTCAGATGTTCTAAGGTATCTCATCTGGTCTTTGATACCCATAACATCCATTTCATGTTTGATAGACCATTGTTGGGTGCTTTATGGTATTGTAAATGGAACTGGGCATATATGCCTCAACAACTTTTGGCCACGTGTGATGAAGAGTTTATGGAGATCTTCTCTGATTATCAGCTACAGCCAGTTAATTTTGATTGACCAATATCAGAAAATGAAAACAATGGAGAATCAGATGGAAGAGTCCTGGGGAAACCAACAAACTCTCCAGATCCCAGATTTTGTTTTTTATTCCCTAAATCCATCATCCCCTCATCCAGGATGAAGAAAGGCAGCCATGCCATATGCTGAGCTATCGGAATGGGTGGATTGTCTGATGGCTCTGCAGAAATTCTCCCTTTCTGAGGCTCTTACCTCCTCACTGTACTTGCCAACGTAGGAGTATATTTCCGAGAGTGCACTCATAGTGTTGAACTCATTCATATGCATGCGAGACTGCTCAGCCAAGTATGCATTCATGTCCTGGTCACTGATTGCTGGCATTTTGGCAATGTCCGAATAGTACCTGGGAGAGAGAATTACAGTGTTTCTTGAAGGGACAGAGCATGGAGACAATAACTGAAAGCCATCAACAATATGGAATAAACTTAACACTCTTAGGTTCTTCTAGAGCATCAATGATATGTCTTGTCATACCCTTCTTTTGCAGTGAAGAAGACTAAAACAGAAATTAGAGTGAGCCACTATTCCTGAATAATAGATAAATGCTGTAATCACTCAACCCTATTCTGAGACTGAGATCCCAAAGAACATCTTGTTAACTTTATCCACATTGTCAAAGAAATAAGATCTGCTGTTGGACTCCTTTGTCAGGCATTCAGAAGCTCTGAAACCTCCAGTCCCATAGGGAAGTCCCACTGTTCTCTTCACCCTCTGAGACCTCAGGCTTTTGCTCCCACACACAAAACTTCCCTTACATCCTTTTCTGTGCCATCTATACTACTAGATTTGCATACATTTCTAAGATTATCTATGTTCCCCACTCAAACCAGTCTATCCCAGTAACAGCTATGCTGCTAGTGTTATATCACGTTTCTAGCAATAGAATTCCATCCCTCTCTGACTGGGAAAAATCTACCTCGAGTTCAGGAGGATTGGGGCTTTACCCATTGGACATGGAGACCTCCAGGACCATTGCCCATGCATCAGACTTTCTCAGCAGAGCAATGTCTCTTTAAGGAAGTTACTATTTTTTAAGTCCTTCATCCCCTGAGTAAGGCAGGTCTTGGAGGACAAGGTTTGCAGAAGGTAATCAGTCACTGTCACTCGCAGCTGTGCTCTGCTGTCAACTGGTTAATTAGACACCATCATTTACATTTTTAATTTCTGCAATTTGACATTTTGTGCACAAGGAACAAAAAAAAAAAAAAAAAAGAGAAAAAAAAAAAAAAGCCCATAGCTGCAGCAATCCACAAATTTATAATTAGGAGGCAGAGAGGACAGGGAGCCAAAAGAGCTGACAGGTGTCCTGTAAACAGCATCGAGACACCTGCTGAGATGGAGGCTGCCTTCCACTGCAGAGAAATTTGATGCTGAAGTGCTGTATGATAAGGATCCTTCAGATATACAAGTGGGAAAATACTCTGTACGACAGTGAGACGAGCAGCTGCAGAAGTCTCCTGTGAAAAACAACGGAATGCAGGAGCACTGGGAGGAAAGCCCTCCACACCAGAAAGCTCCAGTGTGGTTTCAGTCTGATTTCATGCCCCACAGTCCCATCCTCACTGATTGCAATATGTTATTCTCAGTTATTATCCTGGTTTTGCAGAGAGATGAGCTGATGTAACCCTCAGTCGAGAAAGACACAGAAGCCAGTACTTTCTCCCACCTCTGTGCATAGCCTTCCAGCTTGACTGCTTCCAGATCTAGACTCAGTTTCAACAGAAAGTCTAATGCAAACCTCATAAATTGTACAGCAGCTTCCAGCATTCACAACATTATTCTTCCTGGAGACAGATCTTCTTGTCTTCTGGGCTCAGGAAAAGCCAAAAATTCCATTCTAATTCAGTCCCTTGCTCTAATTATTGCCCAGTCCCAGTACTTCAATAATGAGTGGTCTGAGCTTCATTTTATTTCATAAATTGCCTAACCCCCAGTCCCAGTTGGGCCTCAACAGCTGTGTGTGAGGAAAGGAGCCAACTGGAAACCCCATGAGAAGCTGTCCTACAGAACTACCTCCAGTAGCAGTTGGTGAGCAGGATGAATAGAAATTTCTAGACTTTTGCCAATCCTAACAAATTCAAACAGTCCCAAGCATCAGCAGATAGACAGAATCAGACCTATTCTGCATACACTTCTGACAAGAGGAAGTGTCAGGGAATTGTAGAATTCATGAGAGTGTTGTAACAGGATCCTCAAGGCCAATGCACATTACTGAGAACCCTAGAGTCTTACAACTAAAACATAAGGTGTGCCTTGGCACCCAAAGGAAACTACGTTCACGTGCAACAACACATTTCATAGACCTTTGGGAAGCAAAAAGAAAAGTAAGTCTGCAATGCAGAGAAATGCACTGATTTATGGTGCCTAAGAAGAGTCCATGGAGGAGAGCCCAGTTCCTTATGAATATTGCATAGGCACTCTCCTGCTGGAAGAAATGAAAAGTGAAGGGGATTACATCACAACAAAAATAAATAAGGCTGGTGGAGGAAAGCAGTAGCACTGTGCTCCATTTTCCAATTTGGTTCTTGCAACCAGTTGAAATGCTCCTTCATCTAATGGCAGTGGGATAGTGGGTGCAGGAATGGGAGCTTCCTAAAACAGAAACAAGGGAACACATACAGTCAGCTTCTCCAATTTTCTCATGTCTCCCTTTCACTTGGTAGCAATGCTCTCCTGGGTCTGTGACTCACAAAGGTCTGAAAGCTCCCGAGTCCCTTCTGCAGCCCTGCTGAGAGATTCTCCTAGCAAGATGAAATTCCCATGATTTATGTGAACAACAAAGAGCAGCACACAGTGGTCCCTAAAGGAAAGAACAGGGTGCAATGATTTGAACATCAGGTGCTGTAGACTTTCTTTTCTCTCCAACCATGACAAACTCACAAGCTGTGATTTCAGTGTACTCAGTCCAAAGGCTGTCACCCAATGTCACACCAAAGTGTCCCATCTCCCTCAGTTTACCTTATCATACAGCTGCGCAGTACTTTCCCATTAAGACTGCAAACCAAGATAATGTGGAAGTGGTAGAAAAAAAGAAAAAAAAAGGAAAAAAATGAAAAAGCATGTATCAGTAATCAAACCTGGCCGCTAGAACAGGAAGAAGACATACAATCTCCTTTCATCAGAACTCTGCGATGGACAGATGATTTATTTATACAGAAGTTGTTTCTTGTGAAGCCATCATTAATGCTATCTAAAGAAATTATAAATGTGTACATTAAACCATCCTAGCAGGGAGATGACAACATTCCTGCTGAGTCTTTATTTACTTTCTATTTGAGCCCAGATCCTCAGTGGTACTTAGGGTCTCTCTGCCATTTACATACTTCTAATGCCTTCAAAACCACTGTGAAGCTGTCACCAAATCCCACAGCTCCTTGAATTTTCACTGCCAGCATTTGTAAGACTGCCTGTGTACTGCCTTCCTTTGCCCTTGTGGCTGACAGCTTTCACGCTAAAGCTAAAATGTGAGGTATTGCAGGGGAAGAATCTTCTCAACAATGCAGTTCCTATGGGCACTCCTAAGCTGATGGCCTCTGGATCAGGAAAGGACCATAAAAGTCATTGTGGGGTCCCACAAGGGTCTGCCTTGAGATCCATTCTCATCAACATCTTTATCAGTGACATAGATGATGGGATCGAGTGCACCCTCAGCATGTTTGCTGATGACATCAAGCTGAGTGGTGTAGTTGACACAACAGAAGGAAGGGACACTATTCAGAGGGACCTTGACAAAGAGGAAAGGTGAGCCCATGTAAACCTACTGAGGTTCAACAAGGCCAAGTGCAAGGTGTTGCACTTGAGTCAAAGCAATCCCAGCTGCATATACAGACTGGGAAAAGAACTCCTTGAGAGCAGCCCACAGGGTGGATGAAGCCTGAAGGAGACCATAAGCCAGGAGAGGCCTGTGGTGGAGCAGGATGTTCCTCTCAGCCCGTGGGGTAGCATGTAAAGATCAGCTGGTGGAGGAGCCCATGGTGGAGAAGGAGGATGTGGTCTGCAGGATGCTGCAGCCCATGGAAATCCCCCACAGGCCCTGGGCTGGAGCTGTAGCCTGTGAAGAGGAGTAGCCCATGATGGTGGATGTGGCTTGAAGGAGGTCAGAGCCTGTGAAGAAGCCCATGGTGGAGCAGGCTGTCCCATTATATCCCATGGGGCACCATGCAGAACGGATCTCTTCATGTAGCCCATGGAGGAACCCACGGTGGAGCAGGTAGATGTGGGCATGGAACCGTCCCTTCCATGAACAATCCCATCTTCCTCAGCCTGTCTTTGTAAGAAAGGTGTTCCAGCCCTCTGATTATCTTCATGACCCTCCTCTGAACCCTCTCCAAAAGCTTCTCTTCTTTCCCATGTTGGGGCTTCGGGTCTGGACGCTGTACTCCAGGAGCAGATTCTGGAGTTGCAGCCCATGGAGAGAAGCCCATGGTGGAGCAGTCCACCCCTGTGGTAAGGACCCATGTTGGAACATTTCTTGAGGAACTGCAGCCTGTGGAAAGCCCATACAGGATCATTTTAGGAAGGACGTCATCCTAGTGGAGGGACCTCATGATGGAACAGGAGCAGAGAGCTATCAAGAAGTGTCTGAAATGGTTCATTATGGATTGACCATATTCCCTCCGCTGCTCATGGGGAGGAGGTAGAAGATGATGGGAGGGTGTTTTTAGTTCACTTCTAGTTTCTCTCTGCTTTGGTCTAGGCAGTAATAGGCAACAAATTACATTAATCTCCCTTATGCTGAATCTGTTTTGTTCATGACGGTAATTGGTGAGTGATGTCCCTGTCCTTATCTCAACCTATGAGCTTTTTTCATCTTATTTTCTCCTGCTATTCTTTTGACAAGGGGCAGTGAGAGAGTGATGTTGTAGAGCTTAGCTGCCCATCAGTGTGAAACCATCACAGATACATATCTAAAGATCCTTTACATGCTCGAGTTTCCCCTGAATCACAAGGGGAGGCGGACTTCTTACCTCAAGGCTGCTCGTTCTCTGATGCGGCAGGGAAAATTTGTTTACTAAACCAGAAACAATGAAAGCCTCAAGAAACTGGGAGGAATCTCAATGCTCAGAGGTATGATCAATGCCCTGTCTCAAGAGATATTCAAGGTCAGGCTGGATGGGGCTCCGTGCAACCTTTTTTAGCTGCAGGTGTCCCTGTTCACTGCAGGGGAGTTGTACCAGCTGACCTTAAGAGGTCCCTTGCAACTCAAATGATTCTATGATTCTATGAATCTGTAATGACCCTTGCTCAAGCACACTGGCAACTCACATGGGTGATGGGAGATCACTAGGCCAACTATTATCACAGCAGCACACCCCAGCCTGCATGAGCAGGACAGCCCATAGC